GCTAATGACATTTTTAAAACGGCTTCAGAATATTAACAGTTATTAAATGTTCTTAAAAGTTCTTTCATGACAAAAGAATACAATAACATTCATACAATAACGGTCATAAAATTAATGCTAAATCAATCATTTATATTTGTTGATTTCAGATGATTACATGAAAATAACATAAAATGAAAAATGAAAAATAGCTAGTTCCAATGTCGCCAACAAAATTGTTTTTAATCAAATGTAAAAGCTTTCTTTTAATAATCATCCAAAATTCATTTCACTGTAAAAAAGAATATATGATATTATATATGATATATGGTATTATTATGATATTATATGATATATATATATATATATTAAAACAAAATTCGTTTATAAAATAGAGAAACAGTACGTCAACAAGTGCATAAATAAACGTCTAAATATATTTCGCGATGGCGGTCGCTCAATACACATTGTCACCAGCTGTCATTTCTCTCATCAAACTTTCACATACTCGCCAGATTTATGACCTACTGCTTCTTTTACGGGGTTTGCTTTATTTCCAATGTAATCACTTTATCATATCAACATTCCACGTTTGAGGAGTCGTAAATGACGTGCATATTACACCAGCTTCAGTACAGCTCTCTGATAGCTAATTTCTGCACATTTAATTTAATTGATATATTATATAGCGTAAAGTAAATAAAGATACGTCTTATAACACTTAAAACATATATTTACGCTTATACAGTTACTCACAAGACGGTAAATATACAAAAGATGGTAAGTGGCGATCGATTTCGATTGGACACTCCAATCATCATTAGACCCAATAGGCGAATGGGATTAATATTCTGTGGATTCGCCTATTGGGTCTGATGATGATTGGAGTGTCCAATCGAAATCGATCACCACTTACCATCTTTTGTATATTTACCGTCTTGTGAGTAACAGTATAAGCGTAAATATATGTTTTAAGTGTTATAAGACGTATCTTTATTTACTTTCCGTAAATTTAATAACACGTACAATGTTGATCAAGAAGTTATATATATTATATAGATAAGATTTTTACTGTTTTGTTATTGTTTCCTTTTATTATTTTTGTTATTGTATACAAATACAATACAATGTAAACATGACTATGACCTAAGTGTCGAAACATGTCGTTTATTAATTAAAATGAATTTAAAAGGGTACTAATTATTTATAGAGATAAGCTATTTTCTAGTCTGTTCAACTGAAATTCCTAGTAAAAATGCAATAAAAAGAATTTCGCTTTCCGACGAACCGGTATTTACCTCTACATCCCTAGATTTGTAGTGTGTTATTGTTTTCCAACTCTACTCCAACCTTCTACTCAACATCCCTATACTTGTAGTGTGTTATTGTGGACCAACCCCCTTCTACCCAACTCAACACTCATATTTACCCCTACATCCCTATACTTGTAGTGTGTTATTGTTTTCCAACCCCCTTCTACCCAACTCAACACTCATATTTACCCCTACATCCCTATACTTGTAGTGTGTTATTGTTTTCCAACCCCCTTCTACCCAACTCAACACTCATATTTACCCCTACATCCCTATACTTGTTTTGTGTTATTGTTTTCCAACCCCCTTCTACCCAATTTAACACTCATATTTACCCCTACATCCCTATACTTGTGATGTGTTATTGTGGACCAACCTCCTTCTACCCAACTCAACACCCATAGGGTATCTACCCCGACAACCATAAACTTGTGGTGTGTTATTGTTTTCCAACCCCCTTCCATCCAACTCAACTCTCATATTTACCCCTACATCCCTATACTTGTGTGTTATTGAGGACCAACCCCCTCCTACCCAACTCAACACCCATATTTAACCGCCCAACCCTTCTGTTTGCACTGACAACATCACGCTTCCGTCTCATCTGCTTTGTTGTTTTTTAATTCGTCCACTGTTTATGCATGAGCGTTTGTTTCAACTGAAATACGAGACCTATTCAACTGAATTTTCTTGTAAAGCATCGCCCAATACGGTTTACATGTTACCACGTCCCTAGGTATTGTTATGGTTCTTTTGTTGATAATCATTCATTCGTAAAGTAAATGTGTACAATCTGAATCCTATTTCTGGGGTCGTAATATTCGAATATTCGAGTACATAGTATTGTAATCTATTACAAATCGTTCATCCTTGATTGGTATTCCTATTTTACCGAGCGTGTTAAACAAAACTGATGATATTAGCTAAACAAAAATGTTGATCCATTACAATGCAAGCTACTCCGTAAATTGATATACCCAACCATATTTTACCAAGTAAAACACAGTAGTTCAATTCTTAAACTAAATCCTTATGTAAATAACGGAAAGCATTCCCTGTAATACAATAAGTTTAATAACTACGAATATAACCGCAATAAAAAAGTTAATTATGAGCAACCATACCTCACTTTTTAGCGTATCCCTTGTTAAGTCCATACTTTATTATTATTCTTTATTTCTAATTTGCATGGATTTAATTCCTTAATGTAAAAATGTGCTATGAAACGTAATGTGTTTACTTTTTCATAAACGTAAGTGTGGTATACAAACAAGGGATTCGCTAAAAGGTGATGTATGGTTGCTCATAATTAACTTTTTTATTGCGGTTATATTCGTGGTTATTAAACTTCGGTTAATCAATGATTTTAATATAGATTGTAATATATTATTGTTGATAAACTATATAGGTAAACGGTAAACTGTATATAACAATTTTCTGGCAGCATTGTTATTTAATTCTAAAGAATAAATTAAATAGCACAATCAACAAAAAGACAGACTGAAACTATCTCTCTTATATCATAATGTTTTTTTTTTAAGTTTAGGAAATATTTAAAATATAAAAGCCAATTTTACGCTTAATAATAAGCACGTTATCTTGAAGCGTTGTGTTCACAAATACATAGTCTGCACTAATTAAAGATATGTGAAACCTTTGGAAATATTAAATTCCTTTATAACTACTGTGTTGTGTATTGTATCAAACTGATGTTTGCATATTCAGTAATTTAATTGTAAGACCTATAAATCGTGAATACTTATCTATTTTATGCCTAACACATAAATATTTTTGCATTGATTTATTAAATGATAGCGTCGGTTACTTTCTTGTTAAAAACTTGCTACGCTTTTTAATTTTTCTCTTAGAAAATTTCATCTTTTTTTAAATGATGAATGTCACTTAGTCGTCTTGGTGAGGGAATTTATTGTATTTTTTTGTAATAGGAGACCCTCTCTATCCAGTTTTTAACGTTGCAAGGTACGCCTACACCAGGTTAACTATTACAATTAAATATACCTCAAACTAAATATTTTTTTTCTCTTAAAATTTTACAATTGTAATTTCCTTTTTAGATAGGCTTGAAAGCCTATAATAGTGAAAAATATGCTGATATGATGGAACAGTTCTTTTGATGGCTTGAACAGTGCTGGATACTGTAGTTACTCAACAATATCAGAGGTTAGGTAAACTGTAGAAATAGACTCCTTAAGAAGGCACAAATGTTATCCCTTTTCCCGGTATATAACAACCACCTTACTGGGCCTCATAGTCTATGATAGTAGGCAACTCAACTACACAACTACGCGTGAATTGAGGATGGTATGACAAGGTTACTCAGCGGCCTTGAATAGTAACTATGTTACCACCTACATGGTGATCAGGGACGAAGATGACACTAACATTGGAGACGCACATCTTTTAGTAGGCATATATTTTACACTACTCGTGTGTTAAAACATATTAAATTGATGCTTCATTTAATTATTTTTGTCCTGAGAGCACTTTAATATAAAATCCCCATCAGCCCATTATGGGCTACATGTTCAGAGTGGTGAATGATTTGATTCTTGAACCAACACTGGTCAGGTATCAGGTCAGTCTGAACTCAATATTCTTGAAAAAAAATCACTATTCTTTACTTTTTTTAGCGAATTTCCCATATAGGGAATAAGCTATTACCGTAGTACTCATGGTAAGACCTGGACGCGGGACCGATTTTTTTTTTCGTTTTGAGGTCCCTAGAGACCAAAAACACCATCCGTTCAAATTCATATATATATATATATTTATATATTTATATGTTTATATATTTATATATATATATATATATATATATATGTGTGTGTCCGTTAGCACGATAACTTGAGCAAAAATGATCCGATTTTGATGAAATTTGGTACAAACGTGTAAACCTACGTTTATTCGAACGAGTTCGCGATCCAGCTTGATCGGACCATGGAAACGGGGGTTTACGGGGGGTTTTATGGGGTAAAAATAGGTTTTTTCCCATTTTTTACCCAAAAAACATAAAATTTAGCAATTTCTTTCCAAACCATTTTGTAGAGCTTAAAAAACAAATAATTTAGTATATTGAAGAGTTATTATGCGCCTAATGGTTACGGAGTAAACTCCAAAAAATTGTAAATTTAAAATTCCCATGTTATTCTTATGGAGAATAAGTAAACTGTTGTAGTTTGCTTGTTTATGAACATATTTTGATCAAATTTGGAAAATGTTTTTATTTCTTACTAACTATTAACATTTACAAAAAAAAAACAGTTTTACCCTCCCTGATGCAGCAAACCTAAGTACTTGTTAAACTAATTCTATTTAAATAGGGAATAAATGTTATATTTTTAAGTAGACATTTCAGTGTATATCCAATCAGTCAAATGGAAATTCGCTTAGTCTGCAGGTTTGCTGCGGCGGGGGTATTTTGGTATTTAACCGTAACCACTATATCCTTATCAACAAAGTCGGCTATTGAGCATCGAAAAACTTGACCAACAGCGAGTAAAAATAGTTTGCAGATTACTAATCTATAACAGAGAGAAATTGGTCACTCCCTATGCTCAAACGGTAGTATATCTCTACACTTAATCTCTACCTCTTAATCTTAATTAAAAAATTATATGCTCTTACAGTATTTGCAGTGGCTTATCTTGTATTGAATTTCTATGGCGAATTCCAACTTTATGAACTTAAATGCATTGTCTACTCACTTTACACCCCACCAACCAGCCTTCGTGTTGCACTTCCCTACTCTCCATCTCCCGGTTCTCATCTCTCTACTCCAAATCAAATCTCCCAGTGCCCATCTCTATACTCCCTATCACATTTCCCGTGCCCATCTCTCTACTTCCCATCCCATCTCCCCGTGCCCATCTCTATTCTCCCCAACCCATCTCCCTGTGCTCATCCCTCCACTTTCTGTCTCCATCTCCCCGAGCCCATCTCTCTACTCCCTATCACATTTCCCGTGCCCATCTCTCTACTCTCCATCCCATCTCCCCGTGCCCATCTCTCTACTCCCCATCACATCTCCCCGTGCCCATCTCTCTACTCCCCATCCCATCTCCCCGTGCCCATCTCTATTCTCCCCAACCCATCTCCCCGTGCTCATCCCTCCACTTTCTGTCTCCATCTCCCCGAGCCCATCTCTCTACTCCCCATCCCATATCCCCATGCCCATCTCTCTTCTCCCCACCCCATCTCCCCGTGCTCATCCCTCCACTCTATGTCTCCATCTCCCCGTGCTTACTACTCTACTCTCCATCCAATCTCCCCATGCTTATAACTCTACTCTCCATCTCCATCTCCCTGTGCTCATTTCTCTACTCCCCATCTTCATCTACTCATGTTTTTCTCTCCACTCTCAATCGCATCATCCCAGTGCTCATCTCTCTACACCCCATCACCATCTCCCTGTGCTCATCTCTCTACTCTCCATCCCATCTCCCCAGTTCCAGTAGCACACGGCAGCGGCGGCGGAGAGCGGCGATATAAGGAACAATTTCCAATTCCGCACAGTGTGGTCGTGACACAGAGTCGATCATTTGTAGGAAGCGTGACAGGACGGCCACGGTCCCTTGATAAATGTCGACCAGACGCGGCTCGGCTCTACTGTGGCCGGAACATCTTACATTACGTGCTGATATAAACGTGTATACTACCTCTTTTAATACCTTAATTATTGTAAAAACATTTATTTCATAAAAAGTCTACCTAAGGCAGTAGCCTTTCGATGATTCGAGTCAGGGCCCTGCTGTTGTTGATTACTGGACTTGTAATAAATGGCGCTGGCTGAAGAAACATCTTATCTAAGCTAGTAACTACTACAGAGCTCATTCCACTTTATACTAATTTATGTTGTGCTAAAAGCGAAACGGTGGGGTGATTCTGCCTTAAAAGTAATAGGAATGAAAATAACGATACCCCAAATTCTGGAACAATTAAATGAGTACCTGACTCCTGGAAAACATAAATAAATGGATAAATAAATATATAACATTAATCTTTGGTAAAAATAAAAACAACTTCATTGAAATTCTAGATAATAAGTGATAATGTGATGTAAATTATAGTTGTAAAATAATAATACCAACCCAGTTAAAACACTCAATTCTCATTCATCTAGTATGATACACCGTATCTATTCAGATCCACAGTGTTTGGGTCGTTGATTTCCATGTGATAAAACATTTTAAAGCGCAAATGTAACGAATGTAAACAAAATCGATCACAGAAAACAATGATTCTCCACAAATAAGCGTAGTATAAACACGGACCTATGATTGAAAGCTGCAATTAGTTTGAACAGACCGCTTTGTTTACTAGGTTGCGACCGTTTTATTTGTTTCTGCTTTAACTATGTGCAACGAATTTAAAGTTCATCATTAAATATAATAGATTCAGATAATGGTCGAGAGAAGTAACAAAACCATATTTAAAATGTAAAATTATTACCTCGAATAATGTTAACTGAATTTTATACTATTAGGTGGAATCTACATCAGATAATAGTAAGGTATTTTTCTGCCAAAGATCATGGATTTCTAATACCACCATGGCAGCAAACCTGCAGATTGTCTCAATAATTAATTACTCATCTTACATAGGTCCTTTAAGCCCGAGCAGTAGAGAGGAGAGTCGGCATAGCGCGTGCTGTTTCCTCAGATTGCTCATTTCATGCTCCGAAGCCTTCATGCCCCTTTCATTATTTCGGAGAAAATTCTTCCGCTTATTGCACAAATTTATGTTGTAGAACTCCAAATAATATTTGTAAATCGTATGCAACCCTTATGTAATAGCTTATATAAATTTTACGATGAACTATAATTACTGTGTATATAGATGGTAAGGATGTTGGATTACTTGTTCAATAACGATAATCTGATATACTTAACAGTTTAGTTAATTTCGGAATATGGATATTTTAGGTGGTCCTTGAATAAAAAACAATCTCATAGGTTGATGATAGTTACCTGCACACAATATTGAAAATTTAGGTTTGCATTTAAATCCCAAAAGTATTTCGAATAGACTCAAGTAAGAGTAGAGTTTTTCACATGAGTCTTCGTAACCTTGTAAAGTTGGCGATCGACTCTGTTAAATGTATTCGTTCAGTGATGTAACTACAGAGGCGTGTCTAACTCGACCTTCACACATCTGTCATTTAAAGTGGAATGTTGTTACACACACACTCACACCAACACTCACACAAGTACACTCCAACCTTCAGCATTGTTCACCGATGATGAATGACTTTGCATTTGCAACAACGATACAACGTCTGTTGTATGCCTTATATGCATATATAAAGATACTATACGTTGATTTTGAAAACAATGTCTTAAATAGGATGTACATAATATCATCCTAGGGCTAGTTCTGAATGTGGTTGAAAATAAACTCGCTTTTTGAAATCGTAGTTTTAAAATGATCAATAAAATAAAATAGTTATTATTCAGTGCGGCATTCGGAAATAGTTTTGAGCTACAGTGGAATTACTTAACATTTCAACGCAATTTGTATGTCATTTCATAGTTTCACTTTCATTCGGTTGCATAGCGCACAGAATAAAAAATGCAAATCTGCAATCATTGTCGCTGAGTGTTAAGGTGTCGACGACGAAACAAGAGAAACAATAAACGTAACGAAGAAAGAAGCTTTGATGCGTAAAATAAACTGTCTGCTCGTTTGGCGGTACGTTTTTGCAGCCGACGCGAGCTGAGTTATTACTCCATATTACGGTTTTGTGTCGGCAGAGAAGATTAAATTTACTGAAATGTTCTGTAAAAATTGCAGGATAAGGATTTCCCATAATTGTTTCCACTGAGGAAAGTTTTTTTCCACGCATCAAAATAATAACTAGTGTGAAGGTCACATACAGGTATATTTTAAAATTCCAAAAAAACTTTTTTACGAAGAGACATAACACACAGGGGTGTGTATTCGATCAAGTATGATGAATTTTCTTTATTTAGTTGGCTAAATTAAAATAAATTAAATTAAAATAGTTCTGTTAGCATAGCCTAATTCCACACACCCTTTCAAAATTATTTGGACCAAGCGAGAATATTACCAGTATAAAACATTTGCACTTTTTGTTTGTAAACATGTTAAATGTTTATTGTTATAATACGTCGATAGCCTATTGAAGAAACTGTAGTTATGCCTTTCAAAAACGATCTCAGTACATTTTTTCGTGCCTCAGATGAATTTACCAAAACCATTTCTGTAATCCTTGACTGTCTTGTTTACAAAATCTTTTGAAACGAGCAGCTTATTATCATTGGCTATGGTCAATTTCACTATGTAGTGTGGCTAAAGATAATAACGGTTTATAACTTAAGTATCCATGCTATACCAACTGAAGAGAAAGTTTATTGCTTATACCTCTGATTAAGGTATTAAACTTATTAAGGTATTGAACTTTTTGCAATAGCCTACAAATTGACCTTATCGAAGAACAACTTTTGGAAACACGAAGCGCAAAGCCAACACTTTAGATAGTAATGGTTTTCTCAAGTGTTCACACCCACTAGCAAGGTCAGGTTTCCTCAACACCAATCACCGGACTAATATACATAAACGGTCGACAAATCCGCTGTATCTGTGACCGGTTCCTAAAAAGCCTCTAATCGGGCAAAACGCGACCAGCCCGGGTGTTGATTGTACATGGCTACCGTCGCAACACCTACCTGCACTACTTGATTATGTAAAACAAACTGTGACCGTGTAATGCCGGGGATCACCGATTACAGTGATTAGCGGTGATATCATTAATGTGGTGATTGGCAAGGAGACCGGTCCCGCGAGAACCTCCCAGGCGGCGTCATAGCGGTGACCAGAGGTGTTACTCTGGTGTCAGATAGTATAGGGTTACATAGAGTCACTGATAATGCTAGTGTCATGTGGGTAGTGAGCCAATGGGTTTGACTGGTGTGAGTACTGCTTATGGATGGACGTCTATCAATAATGGAATTTAGCGGAATTTACTCCTGAAATACCAAAAGTACAAGTCTAGTAAAGACAAAGGCTGGTAAAATAATTATATTGATACTAACATTTCCATACTTCAATACATTTACTTTAACCCTCAACACAAGTGTAATTTAGATGTACATCTATATGTTTCCATACCTTTTCACTACACCATTAGGTCAACATATATTTGTTTCATTATTTACAATGCACCAGAAACACAAACACCAACGTATACCAAGCTACTTATAAAACGCAAGAATATAATTGCAAAGATATAAATGAAAATGCAAATATAGAGTATTAATCAACGCTTTATTCTGAATTTCCCTTAAATTGCCATATTTTACCTATACGATGTCAAAATGTTATTTACCCTACTTTGCTTGTTGTACGTGTTCTCAAAACCTCTTCGTCCGAAGTACCACTTGTAATTCTTGTGGTTCGTTGAAGTGGAACACATCATGTTAGGTATCTAGATGATATTAGAATGCCGAGGTATAATTGATTATCGGCAGCGTGTGATGTTAATTGATGATCACAGTGTGAGTGTGAGGTGACTGTGGCGGCCTAGCTTGAGTGTCGGAGAGACTGAGGACCTGCCTGGGGCTACATGGTATAAATCAAACCAACCAATTTGGTGTTTTGTATTAACCGTGAACACCGGAGATGAGCCTCGTATTAATATATTGCTCATCACTTAGTTATACAAGACTTTAGTTTTTACACCTTAGACGTAATTTGAAGCAAAGGGTGCAATTAATTAACGATTTATTATGTTTTCAAAAAAGAGCTACACAATATTTATTGTTTAGAGTTCCTCGTACACTTAGGCCTATTAATATCATGTAGGCGTTTATTTCATTGCAAGTTGCTTTTAACTTATGTAAAACATTGTATGTAGTAAAAATATACTGCGACGATATAAACTGTATCATTCAAACCTTAGTCGTAAACCACGTAGACTTATAACGTTGATTGTTTATGGAAAGTGACGCTGTGTAATATCAGCTGTCAGCAGGTTAGTTTCCTCCAGGGATTATGAAACATGCAATCAAGGTCCATACATGGATTTGGACCAGATTGTATTGCCTGCCGTAATATGACGAGCTAAACAATATACTGTAGCACATATTGGTCGCTCACTCCTTCAAACCTTTATTACTTAACAAGAAAATTGTTTAGTTGAACACTATGCTATTATTTTATGGCGTTAAGAGTGGCCTTGTGTTTAGAGCGCAGGAAACACTTTCCAAAGACCTGGGTTCGGTTACCGCCAATCACCACTGACTGTAGGCTATGTGATAATGCTGTGATCCGATGGCTCGGGACCCACCACAAGCTGTGCGTCTACCTATAAAGATGGTGAGGAGATATCCCTCTACTAAAATCCATAAATTATAATTATATGCGTCACAATTTTGTTTAATCAATCAGTAGGCCTATAAAATATTTATTTTTCGTCGTTTAAAATTTAATTTCAACAATAAGTAGAAAAATTCTGTCAAAGCGTACGAGGT